GATCCCATGGCACTTGGCTGCCCATTTTGCAGCAACCCTCTGGAAACGAATCCTGGGGAAATGGAAGCTACTAGGTCCGCAGGGACAGAGAAGGCAACCAAATGAGCAGGGGGTTGGAGCAGTGCCCCTGCGAGGAGCAGCTGCCACTGGGCATGCTCAGCCTTGAGAAGAAGAATGAGGGAGACATGGCATCCCTCTGTAAGTACCTCCAAGGCTGTCACAAAGAGGGAGGTCAAGATCTCGTCTTGCTAATGCCAAAGTGTAGGACATGGAATTATCAGTTCAAGCTGTGGCAACCCAGATTCAGGCTGGGCATCAGGAAAAGCTTCCTCACGGCCAGGGCAATAAACCAGTGGAACCAGCTGCCTGGAGAGGTGGGGGGCTCTCCCACACTGGAGGCATTCAGAAAGAAATTGGACAGCCATCGGAGTGGGATTGGTGTGACTTGGTGTCCTGCAACAGCAGGGGAGTGGACTAGATGGCCTTCGTGGCCCCTTCCAACTCTACTATTCCATGATTCTACGATTCTATAATGCATGGCGTGAAGACAGTGAAAAGGGAGACATTTTTCTCCCTTTCCCATTAACACTTGAACCCGGGGTCGGCCCATGATGCTGATTGGTGGGATGTTTAGGACAGATGAAAGGAGAGCCTTCTTCACACGGCTTATGGAATTTTCCGCCGTGCCAAATGGTGATGGCCTCCTATCTGGGTGGCTTGAGGACCGGACAGGCTCATGATGGAGGAGGCCACCCGTGGCTGCTAGCCTTGCTGGCCATGGGTGGCCTCCTTGACCAGAGGTGGCCCGCCTGCACATGCCAGCGGCTGAGGAGTTGGGGGGGAGGAGGCCTTGCACCCATCTTCAATGGTTCTAGATTTGTGATGGAAAACAACACACTGTCTTAAAGAAGCAGCACACGTGTTTTACGGTGACTTTTGCACCAGGGAGAATCCCCACTTTCTGGTCGCAGTCCCTGAAGCGTAATAATCCTGCGTTTGTGCATGTATGCATGTGTGCGTGCTCTTCTGGGGGAATGCCTTGTTAAAATTGTGATAGTGCGAGCTGCTAACCATCTCTGGGGTTCAGCTTCCTCCCCAAAATCTCCAAGAGCTGAGCTCAGGTTCAGATGTATTGGTTTTGGGGTCCACGTGCACGCATAGCTAGCACACCATGCAGGGTGCAGTTGGCCATTTCGCACCCCGTTGTGGTGGCTCTGGATACATTTTGAAATGCTGCTCCTGTGGTCCTGGCAATGCGAGTCTGAACAATGCATCATCATCGTGGTGCAGAGACATTCATACGACAGATTGAAGTAGCTAGCCACTCATATTAAGTTCATATTAAGTGCTTGGTAGACCTGATAATTAAGTGTGTGGCACACTGTAAGGATCTCAAGGGGTCCCCCATCAGCACATCCACCCCATGACCTTCCCCCTTTCCTGAGCTTCCTTTCACCAAAAGCATAATCACTACCGTTGCTTTTCTGTCCATTGCAGGGGAACAAGATGGCGGACAGTGAAGGTTTTTTACCAATAGCTGGCAGCAGAAGAGGGAGAAGAAGAGGAAGGGCTGAAGGGGGCATTAGACAAGCGATGTTGCAAGCATGTCTTAAGCTCATAAAAGGAACCATGCCAGCCCAGGCCAAAGGCTTATCTAGCATATTGATCCCACAATGGCTACCCAGTTGTTCCAATGGCAAACCCTAGCGGGACATGAGTGAACAGCACCATCGCCCTCATGTTCCCCAGCAACAGTATGCAGCATGGCAGCATAGGAGAGGCAGTGTTTCATAGTGGTTAGAGTGATGGGCTGGGACTCAGGGGATCCAGGCTCAAGTCCCACTGAATGGGTGAGTTTGGGACATGGACAGGTGCTCAGCCCAGATGAGCTCACAGGGCTGTGAGAGTAAAAAGCAGAGGAGGAAGGAACTTGTGTGAGCTGCCTTGCGTTCCTTTCAGGGAAAAAGGAGGGCTATAAATACAATAAATAAAAGATTAGAGGCACAGTGCCTCTGATACTGGAAATAACATGTAGCCAACATGGTTAAGAACCATGATTAAGAACCATTATCTTCTCTTATTTTGTCTTCAAAGACACCCATGTTAGTGGACATCAGTACATTGTCCAGTACAATGCTCCGTAGTTAACTATGTGCCATGAGAAGCATGTCCCTTTATCTGTCCTGAAACACTTTCCAAGCAGCATAATGGGACAATTCTTCATTCTCATATTCTGAGAGAGAGGAGGTCCTTCTCCACTCCATTTGTGCTACTTGATACCTAATTTTATACACATCACCAATTCTTACCTTGTCATTGTCCTCTGTGAAATGTTGGAGGGTACCCAAAGTGTATCCCTTCTCCATCACCCTATGGGCAGGGACAGCTGGAATCATAGACGGACGGGCATTTTTAATGGTGACAACAGCCAAATTCGTAGGGAAAAAGAAGCTTGGCTATTCTTTGTGGTGAGCACTGGCCTGGTTGGAGAATGTCTGTTCCCACTAGGGAAGTCCAGTGAAAGGTTTCCCAATTGCTGGGGAATAAACCCCATTTATATCTGATAAGGGAAGGGAGGTGGGGAGGCTGGGAAGCAGGCGGTCATGATGAAGCACCTGGTACTGGGACTCCCCCCCACAAAAAAAAAGAAAAAGAAAAGAAATGTCAGGAACCAGACAGCCAGAGAAGCAGGTGAATGGCAGATGGAAATAATTCCCAGCAAGCTAATGCGGAAACCAGTCAATAAGAATCAAGGAGGCAGGTTGTGAATGCAAGAGTTTTATTCCCACAGGAAAGATGCAGGTGTAGAAAGAGCAGCAAATATAACAAAGATCTGGATAACATCTCCAAATCTCCCTTTTGCAGCCTGAAAAGATCTTCAGCCCATTTCTATTTCCACCCAATCTAGGGAGCAAAGTCTGTCCTGCAGTTTCTTCTCCCCAAATCCAAACCTCCTTCCTCCCTCCTTTGTGGGACAACCTTCCACCAGGTATTAGCTTTAAAAAATACTGGATTCTAGAGAAGGAGCGGATCATTCACAGGAGGCTACTGGACTCTTACTCTTCTTCCTCCTCCATTGTTGAACATACATTTTAAGAAGTATTGCATCTTTCCCTTTTATTTTATTTTATCTTTTAAGGAGCTTCCATAGGAAGAAAACATTGCTGCTATACAACTGTAGAATAGAACTGAGACGGCCTTTGCCCTGCAGAGCTGGCTAAGTTTAGCCGTGCTTATTGCACCCTGGAATGGCCTACGCACTCCTCCCGGGCTGGTGCCTGACCCTTATATGTTCCAATCCAGAAAAAAGCATGTCATACTGCATTACGCTGAGCCAGGCCACTGGTCCACGTAATCCAGTCCTGTCTATTCCCTTGGCAGTGGATCTCCGAGGTCTAAGGTAGGGTACATTTTCCCCTGCTCTTATTTCCAGCAAGGGACTGACTCTGGGACTTCTGCATCAGGGCAGGCAACCAGTGGTCTCCAGGTATTTTGAAGCACAGGCCCCGAAATCCTCTGAACCATCGGCAGTGCTGACTGGGTCTTCTCGGAATGGTAACCTAGAACATCTGGAGGAGGCCAAGTTGTCTGCCCATTCTGTGTGCAAACCGTGTGTTCAGCCACTGAGCTGTGGGTTTGGGAGCATGTCAAGAGAAGGCAGAAACCCAACCTCTGTGCCAGAAGCCAAGGGCAGATCTGGCAATGGAGGGGTCCCTGCACTTCCCTCACAGATGGAGGGTGGAGGACCACTACGCTTTGACACCCTTTTTGCGTATGCAAACAAGAAAATGTAGACGAGGAGAATAACTGGGAGTATGGCAGAAATCCTATATACAGGGGAAGTAGAAGAGGCCAGAATTTCTCTTGTGCTCTGCATGTTCCACGTCTTTGCTTATTCACGCATACCCCTGGAAGAGGATGGAACACCCCAGCACAAAAGTGCTGAACGTACACTTGACAGGTGGAGAAGACGATTGGAGGAAAGCTGGATTTCTCAGACCCAGTGGTTGTGCTTAGCTGGAGGTAGCCAGATGCGCCTGTCAAGGAGCCGAAAGAGTCCCCGCCCACCCCAACAATCCAACCAAAGACCAGCAGCACACTCGTGTTTCCAGGCAGCTTAAGCTGCAACCTTGCTAACACAAGGAGCCGCGGTCCGTTCGGTCCTGAGAGGACAAGAGGTTTTGGGCAAGGCAAGTACGAATCGGTGCAGCACTGGGGAAAGAAGTGGGCTGTCCCCAGACCTGGAGCAGGGACTGGGCCACACACAGGCTAATTTCTTGAGCTGGGTGGGGCTCGGTGAGCTGCAGTGTGGGAAACCTGAGTTTGTGGCCTGAAGTCCCGGGCCTACTGCTAAGGTTCGGGCTCATGGGGGGTCAGCAGCTGGTAGACTCTGAGTGTTGCTTTCCTTCTGGCAGGCAACATTCTCCGTCCCCAGGGAACCTGCCCAGCTTTGAGACGATCAGAAGACTCTGTGGACATCTTGTCTGCATGTCCTGGTTTTGGCAGGATGTTTCTTGAGCCTGCCCACTCCAGGAAGAGGCCATGCCTGCCAGAACTTATTGCAATGGGATGCCAGGATAAGGCCGGATGAGGCTTGAAGGATCCTGATGGTTTGTGTTGGTCCAAGCGCCTGAAGATGAGTCAAGACCATGATGCACAGAAGGTGTGGGCCCTGCTTGCCTTAGCTCTCTGTCCCCGTCTGCAAACAAGAGCTGATCCGGTCGATGTGCTGTGGAAGCCACGGCTCCTGTGGAATCCACCATAACGATGCTCTGCATGGCAGGGCCTCCCACTGCTTTGCAGTTGGGGTTGGGTTGCCTTCCCCCCTCCACTGAGAGGGGTGGATCATTCTAAGTGGCAAGGCAGACTCCAGTGGCTACCTCACTGAAGGTTCATGCCACCACCTCCCGGCGTTCCTCCTCTGCGGGGCGTGCCCCCGTGAAACCAGCTGAAGGAGCGAAGCAGGTGAGGCATCTTCCGAGGCCAAGGAGGAAGGCCCATCACAGGTGTCTCCTGGAGCCCATTGTGTTGACCAGCTGGGATCTCATGATCTGGATGCTTGTCAGAATCTTTCTCTGGTGTCCAGCGAGGGTGATGCCCAAGCTCCGCATGTCACTGTGGAAACAAAGGCAGTGTCAGGCCTAAGAGAAGAAGTCACACAACGGACCACGCTGCAGGATGGGGAGGAGAATGGTGGTCCCGCAGCATCTTAGTGAAGGATGGCCTTTGGGACAGTCCAGTAACCCAAGCTCTGTGGTGCATGGGATGGACATGGGAAAGGAATGATGCGCACCGAGCGGAGAAGCCGCAAAGCCTGCAGCACATTTCCTGCTCACGACGGCCTGTGTCGGTGAGCAAAGTCCAGTTTCCTCACCCAGCACTCCCCACCCCTGACCGTGTGCCGGAAGCAGCACCAACACGAAGCAGCTATAAGTGAGCTGAAGGATGGGCACATCTGTCAGGTGTGCTTTCTCCCACGGTGCGTGCGGTGTTTGAAATCGTTAGCCCTTTCCCTTGGTAAATACTTGTCAGAACCAACCTGAAATGGGATGTTCAATCATTTGGGCCTGCCCAGTTCAACCAGTGTGGTTATTCTCAGCATGGAAAGGCCTGGGGTAACTCTTCCATGCAGTTGTTGAAGGCGATTCAACAAAGCAGAGGTGGAAGTCCTAATTCTGGTCTAATGTGACTGAGCACAATGGGCTTGAAGAGTCTTGCGCTCAAGGTGCTGGATCTGGATTAACAAATCTCAGCCTCAATTTCACCCACATTACTTAGCAACAACAACAACAACCAGTCCCAAGTTTTTTTTCTCCCAGATAGGGACAACTGTGCCAATCCTCATCAAAACAGAGCTGAAACATAGGAAAAAGAGAGTTGGAAGACATTGGGAAAGGATGCTGTATGAGGCGAGACTGAGGGAGCTGGGCCTCTTCAGCCTGGAGAAGAGGAGACTCAGAGGGGATCTGTTGGCGACATGCAGGTATGTGAGGGGGTGTCACACGGAGGTGGGTAGAGACCTGTTCTCCCCTGCTGAGGAAGGCAGGATGCGCCCCAACGGAGCAAAGCTCAGGGAGCCAAGGTTGCATTTGGATGCCAGGAAGCACTTCCTGACAGTTGGGACCCCAAGGGTGTGGAATGGGCTTCCATGGGAGGTCGTTGAGGCCCCATCTGTGAGGGTGTTCAAGGATAGGCTGGACGTCCACATGGTTGGCATGTCGTGAGTGGAGCCGGCTGGTGCCGGAGGTCAGACTAGATGGCCCTGGAGACCCCTTCTGACTTGCTCTGTTTCTGTTTCTATGAATGCCCTTACCCCCTGCTCTGTGTGTGTGTGTGTGTGTGCGCGCGCGCGTGCACGTGCACGTTTGCCTCCGTCAGATGTTCCATTCACACTTACTCAATGTCCATCCGCATCACCATGCCAAGGGAAGTGTAGCCTGCCAGAGCAAAGGTCTCTTGGTATCGGCCCAGCCGAATGGACTCCAGCCAGTCTTCCACAGTGGCACAACTGGTGAAATCAATGCAGCCTCGTTCCGAGAGGGTTTGGGTGAACCTGCAGCCCAAAAGATGAGGACCAGAGTTGAGATATGAGCAGCAGGTGAAGCAGAGATGGTGAGATCCCTTCCTACTGGGAGGGAAAGTGAACCAGAGCAGCACAGGCCTTAGGGTATCATGGGCTGGTGGATTCTTTCCCCACAGCACCTCTCTCCACAGCAAGTAGAGATCATGCGCTCTTGCCTCCAAGCCTGCAAGCTCTCAAAGCTGCTTGCCCACCTGGGGCGCACATGCCCACCCCCAAGGGCTACCAGCTGAGAAGCGCTGCACTCTCCTCCATTCCCGTTGCTTCTTAACCTGTTCGGGCAGAGTTTGCCCATGAAAAATGAAGCTTCCCTCCTACCAGCTCACACAAAATCTGCTCCATGGCTCCATGCTCAGGGGTTAAGCTATGTCTGAACCCAGTTTCCGTGCATTCCTGCTTCTAGCAGTCGCATTGTTGGGCGCCTTTTATCCCTCTGCTGCAGCTTCGGAGGGCCCCGAGAAAAGGCAAACCTTGATGGTCCTTGAGTGACTAACAGGAACGGGCATCCTAAAAGATTTTTAGGGTAAGCACCAGAAATGCTTTCCCATCCTTCATTGTAAAACATGCACGTTGAAGTGCCAGACTCAAAATCCCATCTGACGTAGAGGCTGGGTGGGGGTTTCCTCACCCCTAGTGCTCACTGTCTGTTGCAAGCCTATGTCAGCTACATGGGAATAAAGCGGGCAGACGTAACCCACCAGCATCTCTTCCGTGTCCCACCCACTCTTTTTTCCTGGGATTACCACTCCCCTTGCTGTGAAATGGCCATGCCTGACCACACTCCCAGGCACAACTCTGGGGGTTCACCTTCACAGGGATCAGGTACTCACTCAGCAGAGGCCACATACCGGTTGACAGTGGCTGTACACTTCAGGCTCTGTGGGTTGCGGATGAGCTTATCCAGGATGCTGACGATCTGGGGGAACCGTGGCCTCTCATTGCGGTCCTTCTGCCAGCAATCCAGCATCAGCTGATGCAGGGCTGTGGGGCACCCCATGGGGGCCGGCAGCCGGTAACCCTCCTCCACAGATTGAATGACCTGCCAAGAAGGTTCACCAAAGCAAGAATCAAGCTGCTGGCTCAGACTGAGAAGTTCACCATACTCTGATTGCTGTCTTCTAAGGGCAGCCATCCAGGTGTCGCGGGGAAGCTGAGAAGCTGAGAAAGACACCACCAGACATTTGGTCGACTGAGTCTCCGGTTTCTGGTGAACAAATTTGCCTAGCTCTTGGACTTCCCAGGTCTTCTTTTTCCCAAGAACCAAGCCGCTCAGAAATTCAGGAAGAAGAAACCCGGAGTACAAAATCTTAGCACTTTGGATGGGTTGCAAGACATAACAAGCCATGGTGGTTTCTCACACAGGATAGTCTGTTGGGTCATCCAAGCCCTGTTGCAGTATTTCAACATAGTACTTCTGGGTTTTAGAAACCACAATAAGAAACAGCAGTCTGTTCCATGGTTTCCACACATCACCGTGGTTTCTCCAGTTGTCTGAACGCACCATCATGTTTTCCATGGTGCTACGACAGAGTTCCCTGGAAAGGGCAGCTGCCACTGCAGGAACTGCTCCAGCTAACCAAGGTGAGATTGACTCTCAGCCCTGTTGGCTGATGGGATATGTGCCAACAGTGGGAGAACTGAGTGAGGAAAGTGGAAACTAGGCTAGCATTATCTGTCAGACACATACAGGCAAAAACTGCACACTGTGGAAACTACACAGAGTTGCTTGTTGTGACATGTGGACCCGGCCTCTCTGTTAATCCTGCTGATGAACCTGCCCTTTGACTGTTTAGCTCACTTCTTGATGAATTGAAATCGCAGCCTCCCAAGCCTGGATGTTGTGTGAAGGGTTAGCTACTAACCTCTGTAGCAGCAGAAGCAACCGAAAGGCCCGTGGCATCCCAAAGGCAAACAGACTGGATAAATCTTGGGAATTTCTACCTCAAAATGGAAGGCAATTATCTCTTTTTAGAAGTGTCTTTGCAGTACAACTTTTACTGTGTGTATTTGTTCCCAGAGGCTACTAATCAACAGTTCACGATTGAATCTTGGATTCATTGGATTAGCTCTGGCATCTGCATGATTAGATCTCATATGCACTGAACTGGATATTTTCTTCTTTGACTGGATCAGACCTTTAGGCATACTTAGCATAGGACTCTGACACACCAGACACGATCTCTTGCTTGGCTTGGTCTCTGGCCCTCACTTTGTAAATAACATTTCTCCCTCCCTTCCCACTTCTGTCTGCAATTAATTAAGCTTACCCCATTAGCCTAATTAATTGAGCTAAGTCCATTCATGCATAGGACCAAATAGACTGCAGCGTGCAGAAGCTGATGGTCAAGAATCCGGCTTAGTCATTAAGGTGCTTTGGATTCTTGGTTGGTTTCCTCAGAGTCTGGAGCTCATGAATACTCCCAGACGGGGGAATATCAAGGCATGGCAGGCACACATCCTCTGGGGATGCTTTCACTTGGGGCCCTGCTTTGAAGGAGTTGGGCTCCTTCCATTTCTACAGGTCTATGATTCCATGACTGGCACGACATTTATGCAGATTCCACAGACTGCCTTTCCCACTGATGGAAGTCACACCAAGGTTCAGCCCAGACGGCAGAGACACGTGCTGCTACCTCAGCGATGTGTGAGGAATCTGACAAGAGGAGTGAAAATTTGACAGATGTTTTTATGATTCACCCACCTGTAACCCAGGTTCTGGTTCATTAGCCTTGCACTGGGGCTGATTCACTGGGGGTTCTCTGTGTGCAGACCCCTGTTGCTAAAGGAGGCCTGATTGACTCATTTGTCTGAATGAAATGTGTGCAAGAAAGCAGTGGAAAATCATGTGGCTCGAGTTAGCATTGTTTAAAAGTCTCTGAACTGCATAGATAACAATAGCCGTGATTTCCCACAGATCTTGCTGGGGGACATGTTTTAGGGATGCTAATTTGCACAAATTTCATCAGTGATTAAAATATAGATAAAGTCCACCTGTTGTGGTCAGTCTTACAGGTGGAAATTCACCAAAACGTGCCCACTTACATCCCGGTTGGTCATGTTCCAGTAAGGCCGCTCCCCATAGGCTAACACTTCCCACATGACGATGCCATAGCTCCATACATCGCTGGCTGATGAGAACTTTCGGTAGGTAATGGCTTCAGGTGCTGTCCATCGAACTGGAATCTTCCCACCCTGCAATAAAAAGACTGGGGCAGTGACATGAAAATCAGCCTGGCTGAGAGGGGAGAGACCTAGTTGCTCCCAAGAAGTTCTGGACTCTGCAAAGCTGGTGCAGAGGAAGGTCAAAACCATGAACCCCAGAGCTGCCAGCTGGCTGCTAGGTGGCCTCAGGGCAGGAGAAGAGGAGAAGACTTTATCCTAGCTAGATCTGCTCTTCTGCATCGGCACAGGGATGTGAGGGAGAGGTAGAATCCCATGTGGACCGCACACTTGTAGGCTCCAAAATACCTACAGGAAGACTTCATGGTCCAGGGAGAACTTCAGGTGTCTTGAGTGGCTACAGAATTCTCAAGGGCCAGTTGTCCTTGTTTCAATTTTATAGGCAAGACTGCTTGCCAAGGTGTCCTGCAACAGCAGGGAGTTGGACCCATGGCCTTCATGGCCCCTTCCAACTCTACAATTCTATGATTCTATGAAGCTGAGTGTTACTGCATCCTGTCTCCCCAGGACAGAGGGCAGCACCTGCCATGTTGTGGTTCCTCCCCCACTGGAGGCATTCTAGATGCAGCTGGACAGCCATCGGTGAGGGATGCTTGAACTTGGAGTCCTGCATTGAGCAGGGTCTTGGACCTGGTAGCCCTATTGGCCCCTTCCAACTCTATGATTCTACCATTCGGTGAGTCTCTGATTCTCCAAGTCAATGATTCTCTGATCCACTGACTATTATTTTGTCATTCTGTGATTGTACACTTCTCTGAGTCTCTGTCATCAAGTGGAAATTACCGTAGTAGTGTAAGCAGCATCAGGGTTGTTCTCCAGGATTCGTGACAAGCCGAAGTCAGAAACTTTGCAGACCAAGTTGCCGTTGACCAGGATGTTGCGTGCCGCCAAGTCACGGTGCACGTAGCCCAGGTCAGCCAGGTAGCGCATGCCCGCACTGATGCCCCTCAGCATGACGACCAGCTGAAGGACCGTAAAGTGCCCGTCGTGTTTCTAGAGAAAGACCAACTTGTGTTGGCTTGCGATTGGCAGAACTTTGCTTAACCATGCATGGATGCACAAATAGGACCACACTGAACATGTGCGTGTGTGCGCACACACTTTTCAACCAGTCACGTATGCGTAGGAAAAGAATTCAGGGAAAAGAGAGAACACTGATTGTGTGTCTGAGATGCCTTCTCATGGCTGCAAGCTGGTAGCTAGCAATTTTTCTGATGATGTAGCATTTCTCTGACTGGGTTCAGATAGTGAGTGAATATATCTCACCACAAATATTCCCCCTGCCCCTTAAATTTTGCTCGAAATTATCCCCACTCTGCCCTCTATCCCAGAAAGACTGGGCCTAAGATCATCCTATGATTGGGCCAAGAGCTTGTTCAGAAATGGCCTGGCCCTACCCCAGCCTACTGTGGGCAGAGAAATTCCAGGGGCCATTTCAGCAGCTCTCTGCAGGGAAAGCCATTTCCAAAACATTTCTCAGTGGTCAGACTCACTGTTAGCAGTGGTGGAAGCAGGGCTAATTTTCTTTTCATAAGGTTTTTTTTTTTTTTTAAATGATCTGTTGGTTTTTTGCTGCCCCTGCTTATGGCAAGTTGCATCAATCCAGGGCATCATGTGAACAGGGTGGGGGATTTCAGCCAAAGTAAGTGATATGTTTTGAACTGTGGTGCTGGAGGAGACTCCTGCAAGTCCCTTGGACCGCAAGGCGATTCAACCGGTCAGTCCTAGAGGAGATCGACCCTGACTGCTCTTTAGAAGGCCAGGGACTGAAGATGAAATTCAAATACTTTGGCCACCTAATGAGAAGGAAGGACTCCCGGGAGAAGAGCCTAATGCTGGGAACGATTGAGGGAAAAAGGAGAAGGGGATGGCAGAGGGTGAGGTGGCTGGATGGAGTCACTGAAGCAGTGAGCTTAGCTGGACTCCAGGGGACGGTGGAGGACAGGAAGGCCTGGAGGAATGTTGTCTATGGGTTCACGATGGGTCGGCCATGACTTTGCAACTAACAACAACAGCAAAGTAATATGTAAGTAAAAAAAAATATGCAAGTGAAAAAGGTCAGTAATATGCAGAGAAAATTCTGCAACATTATCTGTTGTGCTGTGGGGCTAGAATCAGAAAGATCTTGAAAAATGTCTCAGAAAAATTTCTTTGGAGAAAATTCGGCTCAGTTCAAGAATGAAAACCAAGCATGATGGTTCCCTGAAGCTTCTCTGAGGCCATCATGGAATTTTCCTGCAAATCTCTCAGCTGTATTTCTACGTGTTCCTCATTTTCCTCTCTCTCCTACCACACGTGCAAACCTATTATCAATTGCACACAAGCATGGACAGAACTGTGTAAAAAACCCCCAAATTTGTATTTCTCTGTGCACTAGAATGCAACAGAATTCTTTTTGTACGGTGCTTTAATGCCGTGCGAAAACACCACACTGAGAGAATCTTGATATAGCTGTAAGAAATCAAGAACCAGTTTTCTGCACCGTGTTATCACAGCACATTTCATTGGCGAGAAATACACGTATAATGAGGTAACCGAAAGCTGCTGCAAAATCGCACTCTGTACATTACATTTTATAATGGAACAATGGAGAACTTCTAATGCATCCGTTCCACTTCAGAAACAAGATTAATGAATGTGGAAGTCGAAAATCTAGGCAGAAATTGTAGAAGCATCCCGCCATCTTCTCAATGAAATCTTTTCATTCACAGACCACCCAGGTACCCCCTTCCAGTTGCTTTCCTTCAGTGGGGCTCCAATGGGGGAACATCTTGGCGGAGGGATGCGATTTCAGAGGGGCAGAAGAAGTGGAGGACAGACAGAGGCCCTCCCTCAAACCTCTCCTTTGCCTGGTTCAGCTCAGCACAACAGACAAGCTAGAATGTGGCATCTATGGAACCACGTACGGTTAGCCTGTAGGAAGCCAAAAACACTGCTGGGGCTGCGGGGTAGAGACAGGAGAAGGGATGCATCGCAAATGTGCCTGCAGAGCGTGAATTGGGGTGGGGGAGCCACCCAGAGCTCGCGGCCACATGTCAAAAAACAAATGTTGACGTGGCTGCCGCCTTTGCCGCGGTCACCTCCTCTACCTCCTGTCAGTCACTCAGCCCCAAGCCACGCAGAGTGAATAAGAAGGAGCGTGTTACCCGGAGAAAGGAATCCAGCGAGCCGTTCTCCATGTACTCCGTCACAATCATGACTAATTTGCCTGCAAGAGACAAGATGGGTCATGTTAATGCAGAAGCCCTCCCCGCCCCCCCCATCTGCATTTTCAGTGGGTGTGTTTATTTGGGGCTGCTCTGGAGGTTTGTACCACCCCAGCAGTTCAAGGCTGGTTCCATTTCCAGGCTGTGCAAAATGCAGATTTGCTCACAAGAGGTCAAAACCGGGGTCTGTGGGTGCTGGCTGCCTTGACAGGCCATTCCCAGCATGCCCATGCTATTTGCATCCCATTTCCATACAGCTTTGCATCAGAATCCAGCCCCCAAACTCACATGTACGCACTTTATGATTCCATGCAGTTCAGTTTATCTGAGGAATGGGAGCAGATATTGTCCCCTGAAAGGAACGGGGGGGGGGGGGGCAGCCAAAGGGCCAAAGCAGATCCCCTTCAGTGCCAATGGGACAAGCAGCTGGACTTCCATCCAGTGGCCAGCTGCAGCAGGCCAGGCAAAAGTGAGCTTCCCTTGCAAAGAAGGCCAGCAAAGAATGGGCAAGAATGGCCAAGGAGCCCCCCCCCCCCACCCTGTTTGTGTGAAATGATGGGCAACATGCAAAGGAGACGGGTGGCTGGTTTTCCCCCTTAGGCCTCAAAGCTGCTGACCCTGAGCCTACGATGTCACCCAGTCAAACCAGTGCTAGGGAGAGAAGCCAGACCAGACTTAGGGTTGCCCAACTTTCAGGCCACCTCCTGTACATAGAAACATAGAAAGAGAGCGAGTCAGAAGGGGTCTCCCAGACCATCTAGTCTGACCTCCGGCACCAGCCGGCTCTGCTCACGACATGCCCACCATGTGCACGTCCAGCCTATCCTTGAACACCCTCAGCGATGGGGCCTCAACGACCTCTCGTGGAAGCCCATTCCATGCCCTCGGGGTCCCAACTGTCAGGAAGTGCTTCCTGGCAGGCAGATGGAACCTTGGTTCCAGCAATTCGTGTGACAGCCGTTAGCTCTAGGCCACCAATATCCCTTCCTCATTTCTTCTGATCAGATCTCTGATGAGAAAGAATCTCTGATTCCTACACTAGAGACATTCGAAAAGAAGATAGATGGGCTGGTGTGGGATGGTGTAACGCGGTGTCTTGCAACAGCAGCAGGTTGGACTCGATGGCCTTCATGGCCCCTTACAGCTCCACCGTTCTATGATCCTATGATTCCATGGCTTCTCCAGGTACTAATGGCAGAAGGACCATGTCCCTGTGGCACAGCCAGATGTCGCTTTCTTAGATGGCCTCCTGTCAAGGAAGGTGTGATGGGGGAGGGAAGTTCATTGTTTCTGGAAGCCCCAACCCTACGACCTCACTTCTGAAGGCACAGTGCCCAGTCAGCCACCTGAGGCCACCCATCCAGCAGGTCTGCTCAGGAGGAGGAGGCCTCACACATCTCTAGGTCTCGCCCTCAGCCAGTTCCAGGAAAAGGTGAGACAGGGCTTTCCATTCCACAGGGAGCCCCCATGGGTAGATGTGGCTCTCCAAGCTGTCACCTTCTACATGTGGATGTGGAGGAGGGTGGCAGAGGAGGGGAAAGGCACCCAAGTGGCCCTCCTTCCAGCCCCACCTCCCTTCAGTGTCCAGCCTGCATCCAGTCACATGGACTGGGGGGCATTCAATGAGCCAATCTTTCCCAGCCTCATTCCCTCTCCGTCAATGTGACGCAGAATGACCCACAGAGATTGCAAGAGAATAATGCACAGGTGTGCTTTGGACACCCGCAGGCACTCTGCAAAGGCTCGGTGGTCTTATCCCTTTGGTTGGATCTACCGGGCTCGCCCTCCCCAGGCCAGCCGCACACCTACTTTTGGTGACGACCCCCTCCAGGTGGATGACGTTGGGGTGGTCGAACTGGCCCATGATGCTCGCTTCGCTCAGGAAGTCCCGCCGCTGCTTCTCCGTGTAGCCTGACTTCAGAGCCTTCACTGCCACTGGCACCTCTCTTTTCCCGGGCAACTTCAGGCGGCCGTAGCAAACCTCTCCGGATTCTCCTGCAACAGCAAGAAGGGTCAGCACACCCATTTCTCATGGAGCTTCCAAGGTGCGGTTTTGACTCCTTCTCCCAAAGCAGACCATGGCTGCAAATGTAAGCTTAGGGGATTCCACACGCAGAGCATGTGCTGAGCTGCTGAACTGGGCCCTTATCCCAACTCAGGTATCCCAGTATTGTCAGTTCTGACCCCAGGGTCTCCAATCTTTCCTGCCACCTGCTCATTTAACTGGAGATACCTGGAAACCACCTTCATCCAGAGTAGCTCTGGCTTGCTCCACTCCACACAGCTATGGGCTGCCCCAGCAACTGAGGAAGCTAGCTTGCCCCACTCCACACAGCTATGGGCTGCCCCAGCAACCGAGGAAGCTAGCTTGCCCCACTCCACCCCACTGGTTTCCTAGCCCCACAGCTGTCTCCAGGAGCTTTCCGCAAGAGCTGCTGCTCCTGAGGGCACGCTTGGACCTTGACCCAGCAAAGCATTGCCTGCAGGCAGATTTTGTTCCATGGCGAACCCAAGGAAGTCACTTCGTTCCAAGCCACACCACTGGCCTACGCAGCCCATTCCAGCCAGCTGGTACTGATAGCACTCAGAGCACATGATTGGCATGGTGTCCTTCGACATGCAAACGCTGAGAAGCCTGCAATGTCTCCCCTTCACGAGTGGGCAGAGGGGAGATGCCTGGCCTTCCACCCCGAGACATCCAAATCCAGGCCTGGATCAGCAGCCAACCTGCTTGGGCAGCAACCCAGGTCATGGCATCAGGGCAGGGTCCATCACTGCTGATGCTGGTCCTGGGTTCATGGCTACAAGGTGGGCAGCCATTTGAATTTCCCACAATGCACCCAATGTTGTGTTACTGCAACACATTGTGCAATAAAGATGTCTCTAGATATCCCCATTTTAACAGTCTGCAAAGTCCCAGGAAGATGCTATTGGGGAAATTCAAATGTTTACCTGCAGCTTTCACAACCAAGGAAGCATTGGACTGACATTCTTGTTACTTCACCATCCCTTCTGAATCCTCCTAGACATGTTGCTCTTGGAGGATTATATAATGCGATGGAGCCAGGAAATTAAAAGACGCTTGCTCCTGGGCAGGAGAGCTATGGCAAATCTAGACAGCATACTAAAAAGCAGAGACATCACCCTGCCAACAAAAGTGCATATAGTCAAGGCTATGGTTTTCCCAGTTGCAATGTATGGCCATGAGAGTTGGACCATAAGGAAGGCTGAGCACCAAAGGATTGAGGCCTTTGAATTGTGGTGCTGGAGGAGACTCCTGCAAGTCCCTTGGACCACAAGGCGATCCAACCGGTCAGTCCTAGAGGAGATCGACCCTGGCTGCTCTTTAGAAGGCCAGGGACTGAAGATGAAACTCAAATACTTTGGCCACCTAATGAGAAGGAAGGACTCCCTGGAGAAGAGCCTGATGTTGGGAACAATAGACGGCAAAAGGAGAAGGGGATGGCAGAGGATGGGGTGGCTGGATGGGGTCACTGGGGCGGTGGGTGTGGGGTTGGGTGGACTCCAGGGATGGTGGAGAACAGGAAGGCCTGGAGGAATGTTGTCCATGGGGTCGCGATGGGTCAGACACGACTTCGCGACCAACAACAACAACAACATAATGTGATGGGCAGAAGATATGAAGAATCACATCCCCTCTTTGATAGGAGACCTTGAACAAGTTCCTATCCATCTCATAGCCTAACTGAAAGGTACAGGGTTCTGGCAAGAATTAAATGGGATACGGGTATGGATATGGATGTTGTTCTAGGTAAAACCAAGCCACAGCTTTCCTTAGAAGCAAAAGTGGCAAAGTTGAGACTGTTGTACTTCAGGCACATCCTGAGAAGGCAGGACTACCTGCAGAAGACCATGAAGCTAAGGAAAGTTGAAGGCAGAAGAAGAAAAGGATGGTCACCGAGGAGATGGATGGGCTCCATCGAGGAAGCCACAGCCTTGAGTTGACGAGGGCTGAGCAGAACTGTCCTGGGCAGGGCATTTTGGGGGGCTTTCAGGCCCAGGGATGCATAAATTGGAGATGACTTAATGGCACATAACCACAAATGGATGGCCGGCCCTTAGTTCACGGGGAAGGACAGGAAAGGGATTGGTAATCAGTGACCATAGTGTTTGAAGGTTTTCTCCATAGATGGTGAGCTGCATCCTTAACCCTGGTGGATATATTCACCAAGACTGGATCTCCATGCCAAGCTCTCCTCTGCCCCTTGAATGATTGCTCTCACAGTCTGAATTGGCACTCCTCACCCTCCACTGAGCCACTGATCCCAACCAGAAAGTTGCATCATGAACCCATCTGAGTTACTCACCTGTTGTAAGAACTATGCCCTCTTGGTGGCCCTTCTCCAGAGAACTGCACCTCCAGGACCTTTCACTGAGGTCTGGGATACCAAGAAATGTGGGTGGGCCTGTGGAGAAAAAGGCTCACTCACCAGAGCCAATGACTCTCTCAATTTTAATCCTGGAGGCGTCGATTTCTCGTGTGAACTCATGAACCGCTTGGCAGGGGTCCTCGTAGGTATGTGGCTCCACATAGAACTTGGACTCAGGAAACTTCACTGTTGGGGACCAGGGAAGGACAGGAGAGATGAGATCTTTAAGGCAGTGATGTGAGCAGATGTCCCAGGCAAATCAGGTCTGGGTTTCCCAGGGAAGGATTTCTCCCAGTAGGAGCTGTGAAGGGTTTCACTTGTAAACAGAGGACAAATCTCTGCAGCTCGACAGTAAAGCCACTTCCCTCACTCTGGATCTTTAGGAAGGGAGAGAAGGGCATGAGGAACACAATGGCATCCTCGCCTTGAGCACCATAGAATTTTAGAACTAGAAAGTGCCTTGGAGGTCATCTACCCCAACCCTCCACACAGGGCAGGAACCTGACCAATGGCCAGCCCGTCACTGCTTAAATAGGAGAGATCCTCCACCTTCCAAGGCAAGGTGCTCCACCATCGCACAGCTAAAACGATGCCCCCTTTCTCCCCTTTTCCTTGAACTCAGCTTCCCTGCTGCTTCCAGCCAAACCCTTTCCCTTGGCGTGTCCTTGTGTCGCCCCTGCACAGTGGAGGCTCCCCTTCCCCTCCATATGATGCCATGTGCACCCCTGAGGCCTCTTTCCCAGGTTGCTTCCTGCCAGGGCATGCCAAGGTGCAGTCAGGTGTGCTGCTGGGGAGCAAGCAAAGATAAAGGCCAGAGGAGAGGACTTACCTTGCCCGTTCTGGTAATGCATTTTCTCTTCGTCGGAGTCCTGGAAAGCCTGGCTGTAGCCACAGTGTCTAACGTACCAAGGTGGGACACAAACACACACCAGAGTTACTACAACCTTTCCTGTCTGCGAAAGAATCCCAAGTCTATTTTGTCCTGTCTGGAACGCCAGTGCCCCCACAAAATTAGACTAGTTCTAGCTGTGGACCACTGAAAGGGTAGCATGTCCGAATATCTGACTTAAAAAACAGTCTCCTTCTGCAGCACACCTCAATCAAACTGTGTGGCCCACACGGGCACAATGGATTGGGGATGGTAGGAATTGCAGTCCACCATGTCTGGGGAGAGTTGCACCAGGCGACGCTGGTCCATGTGCAACCTCTCAGCCTTTCAAGGAAGAAGAATTTGGCTCAGCGCTTTATTTCCCAGCCTGCTCCAGGTGACTTCTCGATGCCTGGGACTGCTGCTTTAACAATAGGATTCTACTGCCTTGCATAAAGGAGCAGAAATAATCTAGGTATATGCAGAAGCTAAGGTGGTTCCAAGACAGGGACAGGAGGACGGGTGACAGCTTCCTAAGTAAGATTTATTAGGCAATTGGAATGGAGTAAAACACTTGGCATCAGGAAATGAAAGAAAAGAAGTAAAGGTCTGGCACCTTGGAGAAAACTGAACTGATGCATCACATATTAGTCCATGCCTCAATTAAATCTGCATTAATTTGTGCAGGAGAAGCAAGTCTTCTAAAGGGAGGAAAGCACCCTTTCTCTTGTCAGATCTTGCAAGCATATGTCACAGGAGGCACCTCCTGAAAAGAGGCGTTCCGTGTTCTTCCTCCCACAAGAGAGAATGCCTCTTCTGAGAGGAGACTTGCTAGAGACAAGCCTTCTAGCCCAGATGTGGAAGAGATGCCTGCCTTCAGGTGAGTGTCCGAAAGCGATCTGTCCTTGCCAAGCAAGCCTACCTCTTCTTGCAGATCAGAAACAAAAGCAGGGCGACGAGGCTGCTGATGAGTGTGAGGCAGATCCAGACAACGGTTGTGGTGTCATAACGGGGAACTGCTGGGGGAGAAAGATCGCGCTGTATCCTTGCGGGGGAGCCCGGGGCTCACCGGCACCACCCGGACGTGCATGCACCCACTGGGGAGGTGTCTCCGCTGCCCTTCTGCGCTTGCCCCATGCCAGTGCTGAGGCTCCGCATGGGCCGGCACCCGCCAGACTGTGTTCCCCAGCAAGGCCCAGTAGCGTGGGCCACCCTGCTTGACCAGGGAAGGGAGCCGATGAAAGATGGCCCCCTAGGAGATTTCCAAACCCTGAAGCAGCCCTCGCTTTCTCCCTGGCTTCCTCGTCTCCAAATCTCCATGGGAGGAAACAGAGGAGGGGATGGGTGTGAGCCACACTCCTTGAAAATGGAGCATCCTCCTTGGCCCAGCCTCACCCAGGGCAGGCCATCCAGGGCAGCCACCACGGACAGCGGCTTTGGGACTGGACTTCCTTGCTGAGACACGTCTGTGCCCAGCGGGCTTTTTCTGGTGGCGAAAGCCAGGGAGGAGGAGTTGTGAGGGCCCTCAAGATGTACAGCAGGTGACCAGCTAGCAGTCAGCAGCTCAGAGCCGGCAGGTGAGGTGGGCCTTGTGCCCAACCTCTCATGGGCTGGGAAGCACAAGAACCCTCCTTCTGCTGGCCCAAATCTCCCTTTCTGGGCCGAGTTTTACCTTACCTCCTGACAAGGAGAGCGGGGGACAGGCTTGGGAGACTCTGCAGGTGGTGGAAGCAGAGTTTTTAAATGCGGGGGGGGGGGGGCGTGGGGAATGCCCTTCTAGCATGTCACTCCCCTTCCTACGTCTCTGCCCTTCCATGCCTCACACACACTCTCTCTCACAAACCATTTCTCCATTTCTCCCCTTGCTTTGCCTCACTTGCTTTGGTGGTCTCCACTTCCACCGCCAGGCTGAACTTGCCGCAGCCAGCAGAGGTACGAGCTCGGACCTGGAAGACGTAGCGAGTCGCAGGCTTCAGGCCTGAGACGGTGGTGCTGTTGCCCTTGGACTTCAGGGTGGAATAGCTCTGCATCTCTTTGTCCTGGGGACACAGAAGGTGACATCGAAACCACTCCTGGTGTGATCGCCACCAGAAGGCTGAGCAAAGCAGATGATTTCCCCTCATTTCCATTTTGCTTGGCTTCCCTTCCTTTTTGCCCTGTGCTCTGATTCATGGACAAAGGCACGCATCTGCATGTAGAAATGTTCAGGCCTCGTGTCTCACCATTGTTAGTTGGCCTAGTGAGAAAGGAATATGAAAAATACTGGCACAGGGAGGTGGGAAGGAGAGATAAGAGGACACCCACCATGAGTTGTGCTTTCTAAACCAGTGTAACTGCAGGTTGACCTGACGGATGTAACACTGGGCAGATGTCGTCCTTCCCAAAATTGTGCACAAGCTGCTGCTGCTGCTGCATACTTTAGCAAGCTCCAAAACAAGTTCCTGGTGCGTGAGAATTTAAACTCAAGAGCCTCATTTTTTTTGTCTCTTGGAGTATTTTTTAAACTCTGCCTGTGACTTGCTTGAATAAAGGTTTGTTTCTTGTGACTTCTTTCCAAACACCACTCATAGCTTGATTTCCAAGACAGAGCCTTGCAGTTGCATTGGGTTTTTCCTCTGTGTTTGTGCAGGTCTAATTAGTGAGGAGATGCACTGCATTGCCACGGATCTGCGGACAATCGGGGAAATAAATGCAGAATCCTCTGGCACGCACACACGCACACGAGTCTGAGCAAATGAAAGGGAACAGAGAAATGCCTGATTGCTGACGTACTGCTGTACTTCAGAAATAACACGTTACCTCGGAACTCCAACCCTGGAGAGAAATTGCCAGGGAAAGGTTTTGGCAGCCCCTTGCTTGCAAGGAAAGATGTCGAGGCAATGGAGAAGCTAGCCCAGCCTCATCCCCTCACCAGAGAAGGAGCAGATTCAAGGAGCTTGCATCCAGCTCTCTGCCAGAAAACCCGTAGGACCATCTGGCAGTTGCCTCCTGGCTTTGCAGAAGGCAGGGGAAGAATGCTGTGGCCCCATCCATTTGCTGAAGCAACAAGAACCAAGAGCTGTTCGATGAAAGGACGCCAGCAAGGAAAGGACTAGCTATAAATGGCTACGGATAGGAGATAAATGTGTTCATTTTGCAAGCATGTTATGGCAAGCCTAATTCATACCTCCCCGAGAAATAAGCCACATGAAGCAGGGTTACTGCTTAGCGCACACAGTTCTCTGAAGTTTGCAGTGCAGTAAAATTGCAGGTACCTTCTCGTAGTACTTGATTTCGTATTCCAGGATGATGCCGTTAGGCTGGTCCGGCTCCTGCCAGAGGAGCGTGACACTGTTTTGACCCACATTCTCTTGGTGAATCGCCAGCACTTGGGATGGCGCTATGGAAACAGAGCAAAGAATGACATGAAGGAGCAGCAGAGATGAGGGGATGGGGATTGGAGGCACCTGGGAATGTCTTCAAAGCCTACTTCAGCCAGGGAGTATCTGAAATAAAGCAGTGCAATGGGACTCGATCCCAGCAGCAATAGCTGGACTGACCTGCTCCATCCTTGATCCCTGTCCTACCCCTTTTTTACAAAATTAAATCGATTATTCAAATGTCCTTCCAATGGTGGGGGCACACGGTCTCCATCCTTGTCCCCAAAATGCTCCCAGAGGACTCCATAACCAGGGCACTGCCAGAAACAAAAATGGCCACCACCAAACCCCTTGCCCTCCACCAAGCCGAACACCAGTGGGGTCCACCATCCTGGGAGAGACCTTGTTGAAGCCCCCCTCAGCCCTGGAGCAGGTGAGTTTACTCTTGCAAAGGCCATAAGGGAAAGCATCTGTCTGAATCATAGAATAGAAGAGTTGGAAGGGGCCATGAAGGCCGTCTAGTCAAGCCCCCTGCTGTTGCAGGACACCAAGCCACACCATCCCAGTCTTGAATGCACTCCTGCACGGAGACCCGTCAAGTCATGAGAAGGAGGACTAGCATTTCTAGAAGTGGGGCTGAGGCCATCTTCTTTCTGCTTCCCACCACCCTGATGTTGCAGGGCAGCCACAGAGCAAGATGAGGACACTGGCAACAGGGACTGGAAAGGAAGCCATGAGCCCTGCTGTTGAAATTAGTGCTGTACCAGAAGTTTACCCTACACTTTCGGTACCATTCTCATTCCACCTGATAGAAAATAAATGGCTGGGGGAAAGAAATAGAAGGAAATGTTAACAAGGTTGCTCAGGGCAGCCGATAGTCAGGGACTCCAGTTCTTCTGCTGAAGATGTTTCCTCCAGAGGAAAACCATCTGGAGCCATCTAGGGCTGTTATCTTTGAAACTGCTGCTCCCGTCAGCTTAAATTGCTTTGTTTGATGCAATGTCCAATATGTGTGTATGAGGAAGGGGGTATTCTTAACTTGTTTTAAGTTTCTAAAATATTCTGACCTTATTTAGATTGAACAATTTTAATATTAATGAGAAATGTATTGCTATTGGGCTTTCTTTCATATGTATTTTCTGTTCCTCCATTGTCTGGAATCAAATATTTGCTCAGGGCATTTGTTCTTTGCTTTGAACTCTTCAGACCAAAAAAAAAAAAAAGATTTTGGTGTCAATGTAGAAATTTGATTGATTGGCTCAGCAAAAACAACCATTCACCATTAAGCATCATTGGGAAAGTGATTGAAAATAAAATGGGCAATATAAAAATCTTTTGTGTGGATACGTTTAGAATACTATGTACAGACCTAGTTGCTTTAATCCAACTCTTCCTCATTAGCATTCACAATAGCATTTAAGGCTGTAAGCCTATAAATGTTTACTTCTAAGTAGAATTGGATGGCTCTGTAAATATGCAATTATGCATCAAATATCCACAGTGGAGAAGAATCATTGAGTTGGAAGGGAACTTTGAGACCATCTAATCCAACCTCTACTCAGTGTAGGCTCTGTAGGGTAGGATCATTAAGAGACAGCTCTCTAGTAACTGGTGTCCCTCTTAAATCTTGGTACCCAGAACTGGACACAGTATTCCAGCTGAGGTCTGACTAGCGAAGACTATAGGGGAACCACAACTTCTGGTTTGGAGGTGGTGCTTCTATTAATGCATCCCAAAATAGCATTGCCCTTTTGCATCACATTGTTGGCTCATAGGTAGCCTGTTGACCACAATAACTCCAAGGATGTTTCCCTTTCAGCTCAGCATCCCTTGCCTGCCCACGGACCCTCCATGCTGTCATTACTGCCCTTCAATATCTCGCTGAGCCTTCCTGAGAAGACAACCCCCAAAGCCATGATGGCCCCTTAGGACGAGGAGGAAAGAAAGCGGAACCCGATTGTCAGTGGGGTAGGGCAAATCCTACCTGCCTGGTTTGTGGTGATGTTGACAGCAGCAAATTTCGGTGGCTCGGGACTCAGTTCGGAAACCCCATTGATGGCCTCCACCCAGAAGGAGTAGTTCGTGTGGGCCAAGAGGTTGGCAATGGCCAGGGAACCCTGGACCAAGTTAGTCTGCTGGGGCACAAAGCGGATGCCGGCACCGCAGGCCTCGCACTGTCCTGAGCCCCACACACAACGCTGGCAGATGACGTTGTACGTGATGTCTGTCCGGCCTCCCCTGTCCAGAGGCGGGGCCCACTCCAGGCTGACCGAAGTGCCATTCACCGTGGAAAGCAGGTTCACGGGAGCCGACGGAGGGCCTGGAAACAGATCGGGGAGCAGAGGGTCAGACGTGCACCCTGAAGAGCACCAAGCACCTCCCAAGAGCCACCAAAGCTGCGCCTCCAGCCGGAGTGCAAGGGCAGCCTCTTCCGCACTGGTGGCCCCAGGGGCTGTGTGCGACCCGGCCCTGTGCGCTGCACCCACCTATGTGTCAATGATCCTGACAGAAATGGCTTCTTCTACACTGCCTCCGGGCGCAGTGAATGAACTGTCTGCGCAAGGCATTCTGGGAGAGGGAGAACAGGTTGGTGGGAAGCCAACAGCTGCGGGAGCTGTCTTGAGGAGCCGCCATAAAGGTCTCAGGGGCGCATGTTCTCCCCAGGCCATAGGTTGTGCTCTGCTGCTCTCAAAGGCCACTCCCTCCCCGACAGTCTGGACTGCAGCATCCATCCTCCCCAGCCCTGTGCTATGGAAGTTGCAGTCCAACTCAATGGGAAGGCATCAGAATGCAGAGGCTGGCCTTCACCATCCAGATTTCATGGACGTGAGCACCAAGGATATGCATTTTGGAAGTCCAGTGGACTTTGGCAGTGGCCCGAATCAAGACACCCTCGCCATCCACCCTCTTTTGGTGAATTTTGTGTTTTCCCTTTGCTTGATGTGGTTTTCCGCACACCAGGGGCAAAATCTATAGTCCTGTGGGAATATGTGAGAAATTTGTTTTAGTTCATTTTTGATCAGAATTTTCCCAGTGTGTACAGACTTGCAAGCAACCTCTGAGCAAATTCCAGGCATTTCCAGCCTTGCAATGTGATTTTCAGGGAGAGAAAAAAAGCTTATTTTCTCAGCGCAAATATATATGAAGAATTTGCATGAAATGCATGCTTTCCAAAAGTGTGCACAAATTCATTTTAACCAACCCATGGGAAAGAAGGTGTATATTTGAAAGATGAATGCAGTTGATACATATGTTAGGAAAATATGCTTGGAAAACATGAAAAACAAAAAAATCATGCCAAAGAAGAAGATCACAATCCAGTACAGACACAAGGTATAACATGTTTGAGGTGGAATTTGCAGGACACACACGAATGTTTAGCCTGAAGAAGAGAAACATAGAAACAGAGCAAGTCAGAAGGGGTCTCCTGGGCCATCTAGTCTGACCCCCGGCTCCAGACAGAAGACAGAGGAGAGATAGGAGGTCTCTTTGCAAACCCTGAAAGGTTCTCCCAAAGAGGAAGGACAGGATCTCTTCTCAATCATCCCAGAATGCAGGACATGGAATACCAGGCTCAAGTTACAGGAGGTCGGATTCCAGCTGGACATCAGGAAGAACTTCCTGGCTGGTAGAGCAGTACCGCAATGGAACCCATGACGTATTTATTTATTTAAAGTTTCTATATGCCATCCCCATCATTACACAGCCTCAGGACGGCTCACAACAACGTAGGGAAGTGCTGGGCTCTCCCATGTTAGAGGCACTCAAGGTGCAACTGGACAGCCACCTGGGGGGCATGGTTTCACCTGGAGTCCTGCACTGAGCAGAGGTAGGACATTCTGGCCCTCTCGTCCAGCTGTACGATTCTAGGATTGCAGTTCTGCTTGGAAATGCATCTATATTGACCATTCTCTGCCCAGATCAGACAAATGGCCAGAACCTGCCTACCTCTGGCCATTCCTCCCAAGAGGAAAGGAACACGGCACACAAGAGATTGTCCTTGGACCAGCTGGACCAGGGGTCCTCAAACTACAACCCGCGGGCCAAATACGGCCCGCCAAGGTCATTTACCCGGCCCTCCTCAGAGCTTTTGGAAAATGATCTCAGTCCAAAAGCTCTGAGCTGGCGCAGGTGCTCTCTGAAACTCTTTCAGTTTTGGAGACTAGCAGAGAGCTGGCGCACACGCCAAATTGTGATAGCTCCCTTCAACTGCTCGTGCGCCAGCTCTCTGCTAGTCTCCCTGCTGTCTCTGGCTCGCTCCTGCTGCTGTGCTGGCCTTGGCAGCGTGAATTGTGCATGCGCCGGATCTTCCCCCTACTGCATGCATGCGTTGGCTCTGAATAAAGAAGAGAGGAGCAAATACGGAACCGGACATTGACCATCTCATTACCCAAAAGCAGACCCATACTTCCCATTGAAATACTAACAAGTTTATGTTTAAAATTGTTCTTCATTTTAAATATCGTATTGCTTTTTCCTGTTTTTTTGCACTACAAATAAGATATGTGCAGTGTGCATTGGAATTCATTCTTTTTTTTTT